GAAAGCTGAATGCAAAATGTGGAGAGAGAAACAATCACAGAGAGTGGCTGAGTCATGAACATGGCAGGGTTGCTAACCTGAGAACAATGGAAGCCAGCTGCTGAGGGGACAACAGATGACCTGGTCACAGGGATAGACTAACAGACTTGCTCTTTAGCCACTAGAGTTGCTAATTGTCCCAAATAAGGTTGCAGGTTTTCACCAGGTCTGGCTTTTGAGACTGTTTCTTTCCTGCGTTTATGTACAATAGCTTTCTTTAGCAGAGGTGAACCGAGGATATCTCTCTTTTTGCTAGTCAAAAGGCTATTGTACACGACTCAAATTCTCTGCATAAAGAGAAGAGGACAAGGAGGACTTATACTGGAGAAGAGTAGAAAGGATGAACAAATAAAAAATAAAAGGCCCGAGAGGAGTCATATTTCTCAAAAAAGTTGTGGTTTTAAAAATTCCACATTCTTTATCTAATAGCTATGAGCAATACATTGCCTGATAAATTTCATAGTTAAGCTACAATAGGTTTAAAAAAGCTCTTGTCAAATTCCATATTGTCTTCATTTGGGTTTGTCACATGGCTTAATTTCCCTCCAAAGCAAATGAGAAGTGACAGAGGTGGGGAAAACCTCAAAGTCACTTTTCAACCCAATCGATATGAAAGAGTGATTCTTCTGCCTAATAACAAACAAAAACACAAAAATAGCATCTTCTAACCAGCTGACTTTTTCTTCATCTCATCATCTTACAACCAGGTTGGCTTTCCAAGTTGTAACCCCATTTTATACTGGGGAGACATGCTATGTTTTATTGATGTAACTGAAGGGAGGATATTCCACACATTCAAGCTGTTCCTCTCTGGTAATAACTAGTTACCCTGGATTTAGGTTTCAAGAGAAGAGGGCTCCTTGATACTTAGGGAAGCCCTACATGGAAATCTTGGGAAGATGAGAAAAAAAGAAGTATGAGGGACCAGTGTTTAACTTCTACTAGTGATGCTCTTTATTCTCAGGACTTAAGAGAATCTGTATCTTTTTCTTTACAGTCATAATTTGAAAGAATAAAGGAAAATATCAATGCCATTCATGCTAACAAAGCAATATACTCCAAGTCCTCACTTGATTCTGTCTTTTGAAAGCTGAATGCAAAATGTGGAGAAAGGAACAATCACACAGAGAGTGGCTGAGTCATGAACATGGCAGGGTTGCTAACCTGAGAACAATGGAAGCCAGCTGCTGAGGGGACAACAGATGACCTGGTTGTCTCTGCAGACATGCCCTGCAGTTATATACCCACACTCTTAGGGGCCCAGTTCAAATTCTACAGATCAGGCAAAAAGAGTTGTAAATATTTCCATGTGCAAAGCATGCTTTTTTCAAAGACAAGCATGGCTTGGCATGCCGTTTTCTTTCTTTAGAACTTTTAGGAGCAATTATGTCCTGAGGATATAAGGATGGGAAAGTGAAAGTGTGTGCCCTATAACAAGCATCTCACTGAAACTAGCAGCACGATGTGTGGGTTCATGGGACGGGTAACCGCAGAGTGGATTGCTAACTTGTGAGAGATGTAAAGGCTCACAGAGTAAAGCAGTGTTATGCTGATTACGTGCCTAGTTCAGGACTACGAGAATAAACAAGATCTTCTTCCACGCAAAGGGAATGGGTGTGACACCGGATGGCACAAATCTGTTACAAGATGAGGCCACAGGCACAACTCAAACAACCTAGGTGCCAGGCATTTTTTCCAGGAGGCGTGTGTGCTTCTATAATATCACCGTAATTTGAGAAAGGGGCCAGTGCACTTCCCTTGTCTCTTTATAACAAAGTAGTAATTGTTAACAATTGAAGAATCACCACTCCTCTTGGGAGAATGCCAGCTCAGCAAAAGACAATATCAATTTTCAGATGTTATCTTTCTCAGTAGTCCATTTCTTAATCCATTTCAGAAAGAGAGTTTCAAAAATAGGTTTTCTTTAAGGCAAATGAACCCCCTTTGAATGGGTTCTTAGAAATATCCCCCTACTTGCCCTCAAACTAAAAGCCAGCTTGTTTCCTCCCCCACTTCCAACCAGGTGGTTCAGCCATGCCTGAGTTTTTGTTTCTGAATGTAGAAACAGTTACTAAATTAAATGAAAGAGGCCTCAGGACAGGAAAGCACGAAATTTCAATGGCTGACAGCCAGGCAAGTTTGCCATGTAGAGGGATCCACATCCTTCTTGTGTAGCAGCAGCCAGAATGAGACTAGTGAAACACACACTGCTCAAACATCACTTGTATAGTACAGCCTACAGCAAAGTGCTGTGACCAGTTGCTTACAACTTGGTGATATAAGCCAAATTGATTCAGATGCTTTCCTGGCTCCCTGTACGGCAAATTAAAAGTATTCTTCCTACTGATCCTTGTCCTAAGAAAGCACATGGTGGGTATGGTGTGGGGAAGTCAGTGCGGCCACAGGAGGAAATGACAGCGAGGCTTGGCTGGAAGATGATTATACTCCAGGTCCCAGAGAGGGGCACACGACATGCCACACATGATCACAGGGGAAAACACCAGTGTGATCAGGAGACAGAAGACAGGAGCGAGAGGAAAGGCTAGGCCAGAGCTTTATTCAGGGTTTTCTTGAGGAAGGCAAGGCAGGGCAGGGTAAATGATGTAGGACTGGTTAGTTCTAATTCTGGTGGCTCTGTGGTATATAGTGGTAGCCTCTAGGTGCCTTGTATCTGGTCCTGGAGTGAGTCAGGGCATGGGAAATGTTGGATACTTAGAGGTAGTTGGGGATATAAACTTGGGATTGGTTGGTTTTCTATGAAAGGCAGGCTCACGGGCAAGTTGCTATTATCTTTAGGAATAACCCAGCCCTGGGAGGGGCGGTTCTTAAGGCCTTCAGATGCCAAAGCATCAAGAATACAGAAAATACACTTAGTGGGTCCTATGATGAGTAGATGCTAAATAGATTATAGAGAATCTAAGAAGACATGGAACAATGTTATATATTTAAATATGGTCCTTTCCTGGGGCAGCATATTGGCGGTGAAGGTTTTTAGTCCCCAGTATTTTCAGTGCAGCTCCCTCGTTCATTGGTATGGACCACTGATGTTTTCTCAGTCTCATATAACATGTGTGTATGCAAACTCATCTCACATCCTCTAATCTAACCTGACTGCCTAAACCTACATATGAAGCGGTTTTAGGACTCTTACAACTGGTGATGACTGTGGTTGAAGGCACCGCTGTCCAGGCAGTGATTCCCCCCACACTGTATCCACAACAGGAAGAAAGCATGCATCCAGGTAATGGGTTGTGGACTCTGGGGTTCTGCCGCCTCACTTTATAAACTACCTGAATCCCCTGCTCATGGAGAGGCAGCCCACTGCCAGCTGCCAGCTGTCAGGCTGCCCGGTCTGCCTCTGGAGCTTTCCACAGCTTTGCTACACTGGTGGGAGGTTAGATTTTGAGAGCCTCTGACCCGCTCTCAGAATCGTCGGAGCGCATACACACCTGGAATGTGGTCTCACCATGTCAGCTAATCACAAAGCACGGCATTGCGCATCCCGGGCTAATGTGCAGCTCAGGCTCAATGGGGCTGTGTTTGCAACAAAGATTTAAGTGTTGAGAGATGGGCTCTTTCCCAGAGCTTCTCGGCTGATGATCCTATTTTGCCATGTAACGTTCTGGGTGGATTGTAAAGAATACTAATGAAATAGGTTCAAGGAAAGTGATATTACAACTGTGGCTGGTCCAAGTCTCACAGTCTGGAAATGGATGGACATTAGTTCTCTTTGGCAGACCGTCAGTTTGGTTTGGAGCTTGATGTCACATTTATTCTTTTGGCTGCCAGTCTCCTGTAGGAAATATTGACCTTTTTACTTCAATTTTCTCTATTTTATTAGTTGTTCATCATTGGATAGGCTGCTTAGTATCAGAATTCAAGGACCACTGGCTATGTATCCCTAACAGAACTCTGGTGGGTTCCAGTTTCTCTGGTGCATTTTGGTAGATGACCAAGCCATGGATTTCGTGTTCCCTTCTCTCTTCTCATTCCTTGCTGTAAAGAGTTTAAATGGGCTGGGGAAAGATATTTGAAGCTTTCTGATCCAACATAAATGAATCCTGTGGTGGGTAAATAATTTTCCTCCCTCCTTTGCTCTCCTGGGGTATTTTGATGAATAATGCTTCTCAAATAAGTTTATAAATATTCCCTTAAGGGTAAGAAGAGTATTAAGCTCCTAGCAGGTGTGCCACTAATGCTTTAGTGTATAGGGTAGAGCAAACAGGAATCATCAAAAGTTGCGGTTTCATAGAATTTTTCTGGAAAACTTTGAAGGCCATAGCTGGGAACAAAACACTGTGGGTCAGTGCTGGTGAAGTGTGGGTACAGCCTCAGAAGATAAAATCAGGCCAGTCCTTCAATGTAGGAGCTTTTTTTTGGATGGGTGGTAGATGGGACTTAACAGTTTGTTTTGCTTTCAATTCTAGCATATGCTTATCTTAACTCAGGAAAAACCATGATTAATCAGCCTCACTTGTTCCCTCCCTGTCTTCCATTGTCTGAAAGTCCAGTTCACCAACTACCCAGCTCTTGTTTTAAGAGCTTTCTTTTGTAAGAAATATCTTTAACAATATTCATTCCCTTTAGAGGTTAATGTAAATTTGACCTTCAAATATCATGTTCTCCAATATAGTCTGTTACACTTTATCTGTAATAACTTAATTATGGCTTTCGTCTATTTCTTTGATTGGCCTCGATGTCCCCATATTTTTAAACAAAAGCCTCCATGATAATAAGGAAATTTTTTACCGCCATAGCGCCACCTACTGGCAGGCCATTACAGAAGCAAGCTAGTGGTAGCTTAACTTGGACCACAGTTTTGGAAAGTCCTTTGGAGCTTTGGTTTTTATAAGATGACAATTTCTTTGTCATTTTGAGAAACTATCACTTCTCCTGATAGCTATTAAGTCTCCTGCTGTTACATAAATTCAGCAAGTTATAATTTAAAAATATGCTCTTACTCTTACTGTTACCTTAACCGACTTTGATTTTCTCTGTCCTATAACTGTAGCAAGGGCTCCAGATTGTGTGGGCAAGGGTTTGGATCTGGCGAAAATGACTCGGGGAGCTTCCAAAGATCCTGAAAAATGTAAAAAAGAATCCCTACTTAACACTTTATTTGATCTTGGCTGAAAGGACAATAGGTCAAATGAAAAACTAAGTTTTAGGGGATCATCATTCTCCCAGATGCTGATGCCCCATTTCCTGCTAAACACGAAATCCATGCTCTCACTTCTGCTTTCTAATGGTGTAAAAGTGGGTAATCAACCCAAATTCTTATCCCCTGGCTCTAGGGAGAGACCATTTTGAGACCAATGAAGTGCATAAGACACTAGGGCAAGCATCTAAAGAGCTTTATTTATTTTTATTATTAATCTATTATTACTACAGATCCATCCGGGATCTCTAACAGCTGTATATAATGCATGGTGAAAAGAATGAGAATCTGACAGTGAAAATAGGTCATTCCATTGAGAGCTGCCAGGCAAATGATATCACTTTTTTTTTTAACTAAAAAGTTAAAGTGACTAGATTCTTGGGGTTTAAACTCCACTGGGTTTATTTTTTATTAAAATAAGTTCTCTTGTGTCACTGAGAGACAGTGAAGTGGGAGTGCAGAGTCACACTGATATGCTACTGCCCCATGCCCATGCAAAAAGCAGAAAGCTAAAGTGCGTTCCACTGGGGCCCTGAATAATATTTAACATGGGCATTGCTTCTTACTTCTTGTAAATGAAACCCAGTGTTGGTGTTCAAATGGTGGTGGGCCCTCCCACCAACTCTGGACCAATAAGAGATTAAAAAAATAAATGTGGGTGGGGGTGGCTGGGTAGAGGTCGGGCTCCAGGACCAGAAAGGCTTAGGCAAAGCTAAGGAGCAAAGATGAGGGCAGCTGGTATGTCCTCAGACCCTCCACAAATGGTAGTTTGCACTATGGAATCAGCACAAGAGAAATGCCAGGTATCTAATCGGCTGCTCTCTGCTATTTTGGTTCACCATTACTACTTCAGAACGCAAGTAGAACATCACAGTTATAAAGAAGGAAGGCCAAAGGCCCTTACTACAGCTTCCTTCTCAAATTTCCAAATTTGCTGACTCTACACTCTCCCTTCCATAGCAAACTCAGAATATATAGCCTGAGGTAGGGAAGTCAAGGAAGAGTAACATTCACGGAGCATTCCAAGCACTCTGCTAGGAGCTTTTACATCCATAGCCTCATTTCATGCTCATTATAAAAAGAATGTCACTAGGCCATCATCAGTGGGAAAAAACTGAGTTGTTTTTCAACAGTGCCCTGAGGCTGAACCACTATCTTATTCAGACTGCCTAATGAACAAAATCACATGGCTTTAAGGCAATATTCATGGACTCAATAATATCATGTTTAACCAACTGAGTTAACTGGAGCAGACAGGAGCTATATTCCTTTCAAAGTTAGTTTAGTAATTCCTATATAGGCACAAACCTCCCAACTCTCAGTGACTGAAAACTTTCTGATGCATGTGGATTGAAGAAAAATGTTTCTAATAGCAACCTTCTCCCTTTTATAGGACACCCTTCTGAACCCTTAGAACGACTCCTTTAAATCTATGTGTAATACAGGAAAAGATGATTTGTAATTGAAACACCAAAGTGCCAGGTGGTTGTTTACTAGCTGTATAACTATCTACCAGGGTTACTGTTATACTGAAGGTAAAATGTTCATTGGGTAGTATGGAAAATGCCTAAGACTATATTATGCTCACCAGTGCTTAACATCAGAACACCAAGAAAGTCACAAATTCAAGAATAGAAACAAATTCAAGGCAGTCTAGAGGCCCAGAGTCATTTGGAGACAAAGGCAGTGAGTAGCAGTCTGTCTAATAAGGTCACGTTTATCTTAACATAGAAGCAGGAGAAAAAGATATCAGAAGCCAGGGAAATGTACAAATTATTCTCTTTGCTCTGTGGTTTTATGCTGATACCAAATTCAGTGCAACTGTTAAAAAACCTTCTAAGTAACTTTGTTAGTAAACAGTAATTCATAATCGAGACACTGAAAAGGATGACGCGCCTGGCCCCTCAAATGTCCAGCTTCCTTGGCCAGACAACACACAGAGTTCAATTCCATGCTTAGTAAACGTCTGCAGCTTTGAAGAGTTGAAGGGGCTCTAACAGCTGTATCTTGTGGAAATCTTTCCAACTAGTGCAGTTTTCTTAGGCACTCACTTCTCTCGGTGAGTAACAGTTTATGTAGAAATTTTACTTCCTTAAAACTAACTACCATGTCACAGTGATTTCTTTTTTGGGGCGGGGGTGTAGATATCCATCAAATACTTCCTGAATTCAGGTTCCAAGATTTTAAGCAGGGAACAGTATTTATGCTTTTAATCATATAGTACGACCTGACCTGGGTGTAGTTACAAAGCCTTTCTCTCTCTATTGCTTCCTTTAATCTTCACAGTGAGCTTATGAGATGCATGTAATCATCCCCATGATACAGGCCAACTAAACAGGCTTCTCAATGATTCTTCAATCATTTTAAGGTGTATAATGTTACACACACCCCTGCACCCCAACCTTAAAACTCCTTGATGGTTCCCTATTGCTCTCAGGACCAAGTTCCCTACACTCATAACCTGGCCCTGCTACCTCTACAGCCTTTTCTCTGACCACTCCCTGCTCATGCCCTAGTCCCAGCCACACTGACACGGCTCCCACGTAGTATGTTTTCACAGATACCCACCCCCCACCCCCCACCCCACCTTTGCACAAGGAGAGCTTCTCTTCCTGGAACTCTTTCACCCCATGCCTCTCCTCTCCTGGCTGACTTGTCAGCACTCAAACTTCAGCAGGGACGTTTCCTCCTCTAGGAAGCCTTCCTGGAGGGCTAAGGAGCCTGCGCCAAATACTGCCCTGTCATCCACCAGCTGTGAGGTTTTAAGATTGTTTCATGATCTGTCTGTGCCTTTATTTCATCAGCCATGCAACGGGGGAACACAGTTCCTAAATTACATGCCTGTTTTGTGAACAAATGACTTATTACCTGTAAAACACTCAGAACTATGCCTGACACAGAGTAAATGCCCAGCCAATGGTGGCTACCGTTACTCTGTGCATTCCCAGTACCTGACATTTACCCGCCGTGCAGCGTGCTCCCTGCTGACTCTTCTCTATTAGCCTGAGTCTGTCAGGTCACTGACGGCAGGGGCTGTCAAGGTCACCCTCTCTGTACCTCAGTGCCCAGCATGTTACTTTCTTCACAGTAGGTGCTCATAATTATTATTTATTGCATTGAATCCAAGTGATTTTCTTTCATTTGTCTGATTAGTTATTAGCGGATTTTTGTGAATTATTATTCACAGCAAACTATCTCTGGACCAGTGTTGCCTGACTTATATATGGGTACCTACCTTGCAGGGCTTTAGGCCCTCAGGAGCTACTTGGCAGTTGCCTATTACATCAGCAGGGCAGGGCGCAGGTCAAAGACCAGGGCTCTAGCTCTGCATCCTGTACAATCTCCCACAGGCCCCTCAACTGTCTGAGCCTCTGTGTCTGCATGTGCAGGCAGGGTCCCCGTGCTCCACCTTAGGGGGTTGTGATGAGGATACAGTGAGAGATACTATTGGTGGAAACACCAGTCAAATGCAGGCTTTTGGATTTTTAGTTTAGTAAAATTTTTAATTCTAGTTTTGCTACATATCTGAGAGCATTCTGCCAGACTGGGAAATTCCATCTACCCCAAACTAGTTCCAGAAAACCATTTAATCCTAAAACTTCAGTATCATTTGAAAGAAGAATGTAACAAAGTACCTATCTGTGAATGCTTCAAAAGCTAGATGCTTCCTTCTTTGAAATGGAGCTCTCTTTGGGAGCAGAAGACAGAAATGTGCCAAGTCTGGCACCCTCCCTGCTGTGCTGCCCTAGGAAGAGCTGGTGCCCACTCACCTGTGGAGCTGGCGATGGGCACAAAGGCTGCGGAGTTAAGGCTGCTCTGGAGTCCATTCAGCTGTCCTTCTGCGGAGGACCCTCTGAAACACAAGCAGCTTGGTTAGATCTGCAGAGGGAAAGGTGAGGTCAAGTATGGGCCCTCCAGTGGCTCTGCCTTTATTCCTGATGTTCGCTTTCTTTCTTTTTTTTTTTTTTTAGGAGAGCAAGTGAGAGACTTTTATTTAGAGATAAAGCGAGAGGACAGAGCTCCTGGCTCAGGCCAGGAGGGGACAAGAGGGTCCCCCTTGTGTTCGCTTTCCTGTGGCTAATTCCTTTGTTCTGTCAAGACTGTTCAAATGCCATCTCATCAGAAAGGACTTCTATGACCAACCTATCCCCTTCTTCTGAAATACAGTTTTAAATTTACTGTCCATCTATCTCCATTGGAATGAAGCTTCCAGAAAACACAGGCTTTGTTCACTGCTGTGTCTCCAATGCCTGGCACCTCATAAGCACTTAACAAAGATTTGTGTATTGAATGAATAAACTAAGTTCCTGGTATTGAGTTGGATAAATCATAAAGACATTTTTTAAAAACCAAGTTTCATGTAGAATGGTGGTTCTCAACCAGAGGAGGGAGGAGAGACAGATTTTGCTCTGTATCCTGGCCCTTCCATGAGACACATTTGGTAATGTTGAGACATCTGTGGTTGTCACAACTGTGGTATCTGCCGGTGTCTAGTGGGTAGAGGCCGGGAATGATGCTAACACCTCCTACAGTGCACTGCAAAGTGCCCCCAAAGAATCTTACAGTCCAAGATGTCAATAGTGCCTAAGTTGAAAAACCATTATACAGAGGCACCTCCCCTCATGTCAACTTTGATAAGAGACTGGGCAGAGTATGTTAGATTCTTTGGGCACAGGTTCCCTAGACAAATGTCTTAGAAATTCTAGAAAGAGTTTGATGCCCTATGGAGCATGACAGATCTTCCTGGTACAGGCTCTTACAGCTTTGTAATTCTTTAATTGCATTTACCAGAATTATGATTATGAGGCTGTATAACTGGTTTCCTAACATGTCATCCTTGCTAGCATGTAAGCTCTATAAAGGCAGAGACTGTTTCAGTCTTACTCACTGCTGTATTCATGGTTCCTAATACTGCATTTTGATGAATTTTAATAAATATTCTTTTGAGGTAATCTGACCCATTGCCCCATAAATACACATACTTGTTGGGCTCATCTATCTTGATTTTAGTCGATGTGTGAAAATCCTACCTGGGAAGTTAGTTTTCATATGCTCACTTCTTTGTTTTTTTGTTGAACAGTATCTAATCCAACCTTTAGTACCATTCTCCCAGTACTGTGTTTATTCATTCATGCAAAAAATACTAGACATTTCCTGTGCTCAGTACTGGTGAGAAGGAAGACATTAGGCAAACACGTAAGATACAAACTGTGTGATAAATGTTAAGGAGAAAAAGCACAGAGTATTATGAGAGAATGAAATGGGAACCAGCTTCAGATGGTGAGGAGGTTGGTCAAGATGGTTTTTCTGAGGAAACTGTATTTCAGCTGAGTTGTGAAGTTCTAAGAAGTAGGCAGTAGGCAAGTATAGGGAACAGGAAGGAGTTTTTGTGAGAAGAAATAGCATATACCATGATTCTGAGGCAGAAAGGGGCTGAGAATGCCCCAGGAGCCTTAAGAGACCAGCGAGGTATGGGCTGGAGGGTAGTCAGGCAGCATGTCCCAGTGTCCTTGAGAGGGATCACCTGAGGCTGCTTGTCAATCATTCAGCTTCCCAGGCTCTTCCCTTGGAGATTCTGATTCAGTGGGTCTGGCACGGGCTGAGAACTGAGGCTTTTCATAGGTCCTTCAGTGCACAGATGATTTCTATCATCAGAGAAGTCTGGAAAACACCCTGACTACCAGGTAAAGAGGAGGGGGGAATGAGAACTTGGAATGTCTGTGTCTTGCCAATGGGTTTCAGCCCCAGGCAAGTTCACTATGGATGACAGTGTGACCAAAGAAATGACAGTAGAACGTTCTTGGAGTGAAAGGGTTATACCCAACTTTATTCCCTCAGTGGCAGGTCAATCACTAGAATCCCGTCCACTCAGAGCGAGTCTGTGTGCAGCAAGCTGGTCTCTGCCTCTGGGCCTCTCTGCCCGCAGCCGTCCCAGTCTCTGTCCTCGGCGCCACCACCACTCCAACCTCTGCTCTCCTGCAGCCTTGCTGCCACGTCACTGTCACCCAGAGTGCTGGGCAGGGCTCTTAATCTAGAGTCAATAACAATGTATAGCCCACACGTGTGTAGTGAGCTAGCCAACCAGGGCCAAGTGAGAATCCTGGCCACGAGAACCTTCACTTTATCCACAGTCTGAGAGAGGCTTTGGTGCCCAGGTGGTCCCTTCATCCGATAGTGCTGTGCCCCTTGAGAGCACACCCCTGAAGTGACCCAAGGATCACATTGTCTTCTAGCCCTTCCTTTAGGAAGCTGCCATGGGGCCCTATCTGCATCTCTCTACTGTCATTTTGAGAACAGGGCAACCCTGGAGGCAAAAAGGATAGGAAGGAGGAGAGGGCTTCTCACTTTTCCCACAAGCCTAGGCTTTGCCCAGCTACCTGTGAAATGTTTATGCATTTTATTTTAGCCCTTTATGGACCAAAAAATCACCCAAAGCTTCTATAGGCTGATACTGACTCCACAGGTCCAAGTGAAAAATGGAAAGTTCTAGAGAGCTTAGGATGCCCACTTTCCTTTATGGACGTTAGAAACCCTTTGGGCTATTCACCTGCATTGGGCATAGCTTAGTCAAGAAAAGCCATGGGGCTGGTCTCAGTATCACAGAGGAAGCCCTGAGTCTAAGCAGTAAAAAGGGAAGCAGGCGGGCACAATTTGGGAGGCGCTAGAAGAAAGAAAGGCACAGTGAACAGGGAGCTACCCTGCAGGGCGAGAAGAGTCCCAGGGAGTTTGGTGAGTTCCGGGCCTCCAAACTCCTCCCCTCCTCTCTGCAAGTCCTACCCCAGCCCCCACCCTTGTGCCGTGTTCCTGGGGCCACTTGCTCTTCCATCCTCCTCCCTGGCTCAGCTCCCATCACAGGCCTTGGGAGCCATGGGTGTTTCAGACTCTGAGCATCTCTAATGTTTCTACTGTTTCTAGCACGGGGTCTCCTTTTCCCCAGTGGTGGAGACATGTGTCCCCAGCCGTCCAAAGGGCAACTCAGTGAATTTTTCCATGGAACCTCTAGTATTCCAAAATGGTTTGGTCTATGGTATAACAACTTGAGGCACATCATGGGTAAATGTGCTTCTGTTTTGATAACATCATTTCGTGAGATAATAAATTCCAGCATCTGGACAACCCACTTATAAATGAGAAATTCTGAAATTCAGCTTGTCTAAGAGGGCCTGTCTAGAGCCTGTATGTTAATTTGCACTTGCTGATCTGCTTCTGCTGTGATTCTTGGCTGCTTTCCTGGAAGAACCTGCATTTTAGGAACTATTGACATGGTCAGGTATGTGTATGTTCCCTTGCGTCTAAGTCAGTTACTGTGCTTTCATATCATAATAACAAGACCAACCTTACAGCGTTGTTGAAGTAAGAGGGTGGATGTTAAACACTCTTAGCATGGGGTCTGCTTTTATATCAAGGGCTAAATAAACAACCATTTTTGGTATTATTTTTATTTAGAAATATTGATGATGTTGTATTCACTATCAGCCTACCTACATAGAGAAACATTAAATTGGATGACTCACTGACTCTAAAGCAGAATGGATTATTAGTGCTAAACTGTAGAAGAATGAGTGCAAGATATTCAGAACCTGGAAGTTACAGTTTGCTATTAAAGTCAAAAGGTAAATGGCAACATACAAGAAATCGTAGTCAAAGTTACTCTTAAACTCCTTTAGGAAGAGAGGTCTTATCTGAGATTAACAAACTCTCTCTTAATAAATCTAACATACACACTTTTTCCCACAGCATCAGAATGAATCACCGTTTCTTGAACCGTGCAGCAGATGAAGTAGTTGACTTATACAAAATATGGCCTTGAGCGTAAGAACAACACAGCACGGTGGAGATCCTCATGGGAAATGAGACTGATGTTCCTCCAATGCATCTCCCATTTCATCCTGAACAGAATATCAAATGAAATCGGCTGCTACTGACAGTGTACGTTCTCTTTTTCCCTGAATAGCTGAATGCACAATGTGTAAATGTGCATTTGGTGCAGCAGTGTTTCCTGTTGTTTTCTGATCACAGTACGTAAGGAATATGAAAGATGGCTAAGATGAACTCAGAAAAAACATGTAAGTACTAAGATTTCGCAGAGAGAAATACTGAAAGGATGGGGCAAGAAAGGTGCCGTGAACTTTATATTATACACATGTTACAGTTCAAACCAAGAAGAGGGTTAGATGTGACTATATGGTCCCATAGTGTTCCTGAACTGCTCTTAGAAATGCTGCAAGTTCTAGCAGATGGGAAAGTGCCAGATGTAGTCAAAGACTGAGAATTATAAGTTTACTACAATCTCAGCTGTGATAATGGGCTTAGTTCAGCCCCTTCTCTGCAGATGAACTGTCCGCCTATAATTATTTAAAGATGCCAAAGGGCAGGCTTCTTGATTAACTAAGCCACTACAGAACTGAAATAAAATATGTGTCCATGTATAACAGCCATAAAGAACTAGAATTCCACTAATAGTGACATGTTGTTTTCGACTAAGGAAGGATCTTCCCTTGCGACGTGTTCATAGCTAGTACCTGAAGAGTCCTTAAATATTAAGTGTACCCTTCCTAACCCAGAATTCCTATCTACTCCTTGTCTCTTCCACTGTCCTGAAGTCCAGGAAAGAGCCCGACATGGGCACTATTCCTGCTCTGAGTAAGGGGGAACAGCTCTTCTGGGACTTTTGAAGTTGTTGTTCAATAATGTGTTACAAACAAATAATATCTCTGTAAGTGGACACATTGCCTAAATTTATTATTTTGAAAGATTTCTTATAGTGTGAATCTCTACTTAGGGAATACAAGCTCATCAAATAGCTGGCTAGGAATTCCACTGACATCCGGACCACACCATAGCCAGCCTGTA